AAATTTGGAAATCTAATTTAAAAAATACTATTTTAAAAAAGAGTTTACTGGGGGAGGTTTGTGGGCTGCCAGTTGGGGGCATTGTTTAGTTTGGAGGCAGGGGCAAGAGGAAGGTTGGGGGTTGGAGCATCAAGTAATAGTAATAATGGTAATAATAATAATAATAATAATAATAATAATAATAATAATTTGCATAGCGCCCTATACTCACAGGTCTCAGGGTGGTTTACAATATAAAAGCGCAAGAGACATAATAAAAACAAAAACATCCCAATAATCCAGCCCCCCCAAGCAAAAAAACCCAGGAGGGGATTCACACTTCCATTATGCTGATAGCTCTCAAGGCTGCTTGACAGACAGCAACAACGACAATTAATTCTACGAGGCTTTATTAAGTTTTGTGAGCCCCCCAGAGTGAAGAGCAACATATTAAAATGCAATAGGTCAGCCGTCAATCGATGCAAGTAGAAAACTGCAACGTCAGCGGCAGGAGGAGGAGGAGGGTCAGACCGGCTGCAGTGGCCAGAGCGGCATCAAAATGTCTGAAAACAAAGACTAGGGGATGGAGCCACCGGGGAAAGACGCCCAGGGAGGGGCCTGGGATCAAGTGGGCACCCGGCGGATCTCCCTGGTCTCTTCTCCTGCATTGCAGGGGGTTGGGCTGGATGACCCCAGGGTGCCCCGCAACCCTACCATTCCGTAATTCACTGGGAACAATGCCTCTCCCCACCCACCCCTATTCTCTCCTTCCCTGGAGCCCTCTGGGGGAATGTGGTGGGCAGCAGGAGAGGATATACTGATTAAATATTATCCCTCCTAACTCACGCTAGTGGGGTTATTCATACAGCAGAGTACAGGGGTCAGCAAACTTTTTCATCAGGGGGCTGGTCCACTGTCCCTCAGACCTTGTGGGGAGCCAGACTATATGGGGGGGGGGATGAATGGATTCCTATGCCCCACAAATAACCCTGAGATGCATTTTAAATAAAAGGGCACATTCTACTTATGTAAAAACACGCTGATTCCTGGACCGTCTGCAGGCCAGATTGAGAAGGCAATTGGGCCGGATCCAGCCCCCGGGTCTTAGGTTGCCTACCCATGGCAGAGTACATTCTCCTCTTTACATAGCAGGAAGCTAGTTGCAGATTCCTTAGAATCTCTCAAGTTCTGTTATTCCTGATAAGACCCCTTTGATTCCCTCCTAAAAGAATAAAGACACAACAGCCTTCTTTTAAAGTAATAAGAAGTTTACTCACATTCGGTTCACAGCTGGATCCCTGAAGGCAAAGAGGCTTTAGCTTAGAGTTACAGAAGAGGGTTTGAGTTCATCCCACATGGGAACTCATCCCACATGCTGCTGGCTGAGAGAAGAAAAGGCATCAAAATAATAATAATAATAATAATAATAATAATAATAATAATAATAATAATAATAATGTACCCTGCCCATCTGGCTGGGTTTCCTCAGCCACTCTGGGCGGCTTCCAACAAAGATTAAAAATACATTAAAATGTCACACTTTAAAAACTTCCCTGAACAGGGCTGCCTTCAGGTGTCTTCTAAAAGTCAAATAGTTGTTTATTTCCTTGACATCTGATGGGAGGGCATTCCACAGGGCGGGTGCCACCACCAAGAAGGCCCTCTGCCTGGTTCCCTGTAGCTTCGCTTCTCGCAGGGAGGGAACCTCCAGAAGGTCCTCAGAGCTGGACCTCAGTGTCCAGGCAGAACGATCGGGGTGGAGATGCTCCTTCAGGTATACAGGACCGAGGCCGTTTAGGGCTTTAAAGGGTAAAAGAGGAAGATGGCTGTGTGACTGGACCTTTGTGGGGTCTGGAAGGTCTTGCCCATCTACCTGGTCACCTGCAAAGGAAGGATGCTCCAGACCAGGTGGGACAGGAAGTTCGACTGGCTGGACCAACACCCCCCTGTCTGTGTCCACTCTAGGCAAACAGGAAATGTTGTATTTGACTGCTTATGTTACATCCCACACCCTGGGGGGTCTCTTCCGTGAATCCTTCCATCCTTCGACTGCAGGCGCTCCTCTGCCCTCGGTCCTCCTCGCAAGGCTTCCTGCTGCTGGCGCAAGTGAGCGGATCTGGCCGCCCTCTGGGCAGCAGCAGGAGGCTTGGAGGGGCAGCGGAAGAGGCTGCCGGGGTCTGTCCTGGAGCCTGCTTGGGGGGCTGCCACAGTCCTTGCTGGGGAGCTTTTCCAGGAGGTGGGGGCCTGAGGAATCTGGGGCAGCCCCAGAGAGAGAGCCCCCTCCTTGCCCTTGCCTTTGGGGACATGCAAAGAGGGGGGCTGTGTTGGCGACTGGACGCAGACTCTCACCCAAGCCCTGGGCATGGTGGGCGCTTGCATCTCTGCCAGAACCTGGGCAAATCTCGCTTGGGTGCTGCTCTCCAGATTCCTGCACCTTCCTCGCTGCCCTTTTCTTGGCATGGCTCTGGGAACTACAGATTTGGGGTGGGCTCCTTCGGTCCAGTTGCTTTTAGCATGTGCAGAAACGGAACTGTCTTGAAAATGCCCCCAATCTGTTGGAAAGGGATGGAGAAGTGTTCTTCTAGAGAGGGAGAGCCTTGGGTGTTGGCCAGTTGTCTGGGGTGGGCAGGGGGGGGTGAGCCTGAGTCCCCCCCCCAATCCAAAAAGCGCCTTTAGTTTCCAGGTGGATTTGTGCAAAGTGAGATCCAGACAAGGAGGTCAGGGAAAGATCCCACGTGGAAGGAGGGAGGGTGGCGGCAAGGACCTCATGGGGAAATATGTTTATTTATAACTTGTGTATAAATACCACAATAGCATCATAAAAACCTATCCCAGTGGTTTCCAGCAGTATAACGCCAAGCAATAAAGAAGTTACAAACAGAAAGAAGTAAACGATCGGAGGACCTGGGAGGGGGTCTGTGGTTCCACTTCTGGGCACCTTGATCCAGACTTAGGTGGTAGTCGGGGCCATACCAGTGGTGCTGAGTCCCTGTGCTGGGGGGGACTCCCTTGGCCAACTTTCTGCCCTGCAGATATTTAGCAGCACAGCTCCCATCAGCCCGTGTTGCCTGGGGCCATGATCCGCCTGCAGGTTAATAATAATAATAATAATAGTAATAATAATAATAATTTATTTATACCCCGCCCATCTGGCTGGGCTTCCCCAGCCACTCTGGGTGGCTTCCAACAAAGTATTAAAATACAGTGGTCTGTTAAACATTAAAAGCTTTCCTAAACAGGGCTGCCTAAACAGGTTGTCCTGCGGCAGCTCCTTGGGGCCAGCGGAGGTCCCCCCCCCCCGACACTCCCTTCTCTTCAGTCTTTCCAGGGAGAGGCAGGACAGCTGCTTGGGGGGAGGAAGGCAGAATGCGGCATCAGGTGGGCAACTCACCTGTCCCAACTTGGGGACGGTCTTTCCTCTCTCATGGTGACTTGGCAGAGATGCCGGCCTGCGATGCTAGTCGGCTTCAGGGTGTGAGAAGCAGCCCCCGTGCCCCGCCCCCTTTGGCGATTTCATCTTCTGTCTCCTTCCTGGAGTCTTTTGGGCTCTTGTGGGAAAAGGCCAAATCTGTGCTTACGTCCATCCAATTCTGTAGTCAGAAACAGGTCGGTGGGACTGGGATGAGCGGTTCTCGTTGCCTTCGGTGGGGGCGTCCTGGGGGGCTTGGTATGTGCTGTCCTTGAGGGGCTTAGCAGCCGCTGCCAACACACAGCTGCCGCCATCTGATCCCCCAAATCTCGGACACTCATCATCAGCCTGTGTCTCGAACTCAGGGCCCTCCCCTTTGCTCCTCCAGAGCCTCGGTCCTTCCAGAGAGGCAGTGCTTCCTTCTGGGGGCTGCAAAGAGAGATCCCCCCCCACTTCCTTTACCCCCATCGGTCTGTTGCTTCATAGTTGGAGAGAGCCATTGCTTGAGGCCTTGAATGTGGGGGATGCTTGCTAAAAATATTTTGGCAGAAATACTCAAACGCTCCCTTTCGCTCTTAAAAATTGGTCTTCCCCAGTTGTGGTTTGAGACCAGAATGTGGGGATATACTTGCGCCTGCCTGGGAGTCAGGGGTTTGGATCCTGCCCCCCGCACAGTGGATTCCCTGCGGGATCTTGGGCAAGCCAGCTCTCTGTTTCGCCTTACCTGTCCAGTGGATCCCTGAGTGGCCCGCCCTGCAGGGGGGTTGTGATGGGAAACAGAAAGATGAGAAACGACTTTGCGGGTTAGAAATGCTGCCCAGGTCAGAAACCTCCAGGGCGGATTTCCATCCTGCCCTAACCAAAACCTTTTGGCAGTTTCCGTTACGCTGAGACTGACTGGCACTGAGCTCTCTGGCCGCCTGCGGACTGGAATTGGGGAGCTCAGCGTGGCTGGCAGAGCCTGTGGGGAAGGTGGAGACCCCCTTACGCGTGGGGTGGGGGGGCTGCTTCTGGTGGTCTCAACCAGGCCCCGCATTTACGGAGCAAGGCCCCCCAGCTGAAAGACCCCTCCCCACCTCACAAGGTCATGCTGAATTTTGCAACTCTCAAATTCTCAAAACGAGGGGTGCTAAAAAGTTGAAGCATGGGAATTCAAGAAATATTTGGGTCCAATTAATATAATTTAGCATTGCTTGGTAAGTAAAATATGTATAAAGTTGCTTAGAAATTGTTAAAAATTATTGCCAAGGGCTTGCAGTTAAATGATTTGGTTTTCCGAAAGCAGTTCATGTGCTTCTTCATCAAATGTAGACTTAACCAAGCTAAATGCGGTCCGGTTGCAAAAATAATTGCACCCAGAAACGTATTTTTCTCACTGGAGAAATGTGCAAAAACTAAGTTTTGCCCCCTGAAATGTCATGCCCTGCCTGCCATTTTTTTCCGGCGGTGCTTCCTTCCTGGCGAAATGTCTCTCTGTCCTCGGAAGGAGCGCCCCCTGAGCTGGCTGGGGGTTGCCCGGCAGTGAGTGCGCCAGGGTGGGCACCACGGAAGGGGGGAGGGAGAAGCCCCTTCCCTCGTCTGCCGCCCCAACCTTGTCTGCCGTCTCCCGCAGGCTGAGAAGAAGGCCAAGGTCATTGCCGGGATGAATGCGGTGGAGGAGATGCCCCCCAGCGAGCCCCAGAAGGAGGAGGAGGCCAGCCCCCCGGCCTCGCAGCAGCCCACCGACCCCGCCTCGCCCACGGTGGCCACCACCCCGGAGCCCGTGGGGCCCGAGGCCGTGGACAAAGGCATGTCCAAGTCGGCCGATGACGAGCCGGAATACGAGGTGAGCGTTGCCCTTCTCTGAGCCCCCACCCCCCAGAGCTCCCGGCCCCCTGGGGGGGGGTCTCTCCCCACACTGAATGCTGACCCCCAGACAGGGCTGGCTTGAGCCACGCAGGGCAGAGGCTGCGGGCAAGGGCACCTCTGCAAGGGGAGAAGCTGGTGTGGCTGGCCGCCACTGCTGCCCCCCATGCAGCCGTGTGCTGAAGACTGCGCCTATGGGGTGCCCCCCACCTTGCATTGGGTAAATGAGTTGGCAGGGAGGAACGATCAGGCTGAGAGAGAGGGAGCGCCCAGGAGAGGGTTTGCTCTCAGCCAGAGGGGAAGGAGGCTCAAATCCCCAGGGAAGGTGAGGCCAAGATCCTGGGAGCAGCGTAGGATCGGAATTGAAAAATAAGCTAAATGTGGCAGGTTCAGCACAAGTCATGTTAGGTGATGAACAAATCACCAACGAGGCATTTAGGACCTATAAAATAATATAACAAGTCCACACACACACTCTTCCTGCCCACCTAATGACTCACAATCTTTGCTTTTTTTTTTTTTGCTTCTTTTTAAATATAGTTCTTATTTGATTGTACAGATTTGTTGACCTTCAAAATCACAAATAGTAAAAATTACACAAGATTCTCCCGAATCTCTAGACTCCCCTCCATCGGTTCTTGAATTAAGCTTTTCAGCTGCATATTATAAGTCACTCTTAATTTTCCGGTTCTCCATTGTATCCAAAGCCTGTGTAACGTTACAAGAGTTATTTAAGACCTGCTAAAGAGTCCAGATGTTTACAGTGGTCTTTCAAATATAGTCTAAATCCCCCCCCCCATTCTTTGTTGGAGTTTTGATCCTCCTGGTTTCTGATTTTCGCGGCCATTTTTGCCATCTCTGCATAGCCCAGCAACTTGGCCTGCCATTCCGCTCTGGTCGGCGGGAAACTCTCGTCTCTCCAACTCTGGGCAGGCAGCTGTCAATCTTTGCTTTCTTCCGTCCATTAAATACACACCTCTGCAACAGAGCTGGACGTCCTTATCCTGATGGCCTCTAGCTCTCTTCTTTCTCCTCCCCACGGCAGGATGGCCGGGGCTTTGGGATCGGGGAGCTGGTCTGGGGGAAGCTGCGGGGCTTCTCCTGGTGGCCGGGACGCATTGTCTCCTGGTGGATGACGGGCAGGAGCCGAGCCGCCGAGGGAACGCGCTGGGTGATGTGGTTTGGCGACGGGAAGTTCTCTGTGGTGAGTGGCCGAGGGGGGTGCAGGCGGGCTCGTGGGGGGGGGGAGCCAAGCAAGCAGCCGAGGGGCGAGGAAGCGGCTGCTTGCTCTGGCCTGAGCCCTGGGAGGCTGGCAGGGTCCCCTGCATGAAAGAAGAGGCTGCAGGATCAGGCCAGGGGCCCAAACCCAAGAGCCCCAGTCTCCCTTCCTGCAGTTTCCAGTGCCTAGAATTCAGAAGCCTGGCTGCCTCCATCCAACCTAACGGCCATCGATAGACCTCTCCTCCTCCATGAACTGGTCCAGTCCTCTTTGGAAGCCATCTGAGTTGGGGGCCATCTCTGCCCCCTGTTAACGGAGAAATCTGAGGGCTCCCTTGGACAAAAACCAAGGACACCAGCCAGGAATACCAGAGCAAAACAGCAGCCAGTCGGCTTGGTCTTGATTGAAGACTGTCGTGACAGGACTCCCACCTGCCACCAGGTGGAACATGATGGAAGCCCCGAACAAAAGAGTACCCAAACTTTTATTAGCTGCTATCCCCATGTCACACCCCTCCCTAAACTACATCACTCATACATCACGGTTACATCATGAAAGGGGAGGTCTGGTGGCCGTAATCTGAGCATCCTGGACCCTGCCCCATGGTTCCCCTTGCCCTCCACCAAACACCCATCAAGTGGAACAAAAGAGATATTTCCATTTCCCTGTTTCCCAGCCAAGTTCATCCCACCCTTTTGTCTTCATCTGGGTTTGTTATTCCTGGAATGGCTACCTGTCTGGCACTCAGGTGTCAGGGTGCCAGGGGTTATCCCTCAGGCAGAGGGGCTGCTGAATAGCTGAGCTCACAGGTCTATAGGAATTTCTAGATAAATTTATCAGTGAATTCTTACATTGGTATCGTGCAGCAAGGCCCTTTGAATAGATAGGAAGAAACTGTGACGGGGTGTTTTGTGGGGACAAGTCACAAAAGTGACTGTGCTGATTTTGGTAGTGCATGATATCTGCTGAAGGGGCAACCCCCTCAACCTATATGTAAATCCCTGCAACACTCCTGTGGCAGGGAGTTCCGCAGTTCCACTTTGCTTTCCAACCCTAAGAAACTCCACCCTGCCCTCGTTCTGTCATTTATTTTCCCAAAGGGGGCGAAGGCGGTCTTCCCAGCTGCCTGGACCACCCCTGGGATTTGTGGAGAGGGTTCTGCATCTTCACCCATGCCCCCCCCCCGGTCTTCTCTTTCCGGCAGGTCTGCGTGGAGAAGCTGCTCCCGCTCAGCTCCTTCTCCAACGCCTTCCACCAGGCCACGTACAGCAAGCAGCCCATGTACCGCAAAGCCATCTACGAGGTGCTGCAGGTAAGGCCTGACTCTGCCCCCCCCCCCCCGTTCGCGTCTCCCACCTGGCCAGCGTTCCTGGTCCCTGTTTGCAGGCAGGTAGGAAGCCTCTAAGGGATGCAGGTGGCGCTGTGGTCTAAACCGCTGAGCCTCTTGGGCTTGCCAATCAGAAGGTTGGCGGTTCGAATCCCCGCGACGGGGTGAGCGCCCGTTGCTCGGTCCCTGTTCCTGCCAACCTAGCAGTTCGAAAGCAAGTGCAAGTAGATCAATAGGTACCGCTCTGGCGGGAAGGTAATAATAAATTTTTATTTATACCCCGCCCTTCCCGGTTCAGAAAACCGGGCTCAGGGCGGCTAACAACAAATTTAAAACACTTAATTGATGCAACAAAAAACAGCATAAAATACAGTATAAAACGTGAATAACAATTCAGAATTCAAAAATCAATTTAGGGGGAAATCCATCCAATAAACATCATATGATCCCCAGGGCTAGCTGGCTAAGTTAGTCCTATTTGGGTCAGCGAGGAGACCAGGGGAGAATTAGCTGTAGGGTCCCAGAGCAGGCAGTCTTCATAAAAAGGGGAGGGGGAGGGAAGGAAGGGGAATAAAAGATCAGGCTAAGTTCAAATTGAAAGCCAGGCGGAATAGCTCTCTCTTACAGGCCCAACGGAAGGAGGTTGAATCCTGCAGGGCCCTGGTCTCCTGGGACAGAGCGTTCCACCAGGTCGGAGCCATCACTGAGAAGGCCCTGGTCCTGGTGGAGGATAGTCTGGCTTCCTTAGGGCCCGGGACCTCTAAACTATGATTATTCATGGACCTTAAGGTCCTCTGTGGGGCAGACCAGGAGGGCCCTAAGTAAATATGAGGGCCCTAAGTTTCCATGCGCTGCTCTGGTTTCGGTGTTCCATTGCGCCAGAAGCAGCTTGGTCCTGCTGGCCACATGACCCAGAAAAACTGCCTGCGGACAAACGCCGGCTCCCTCGGCCAGTAAAGCGAGATGAGCGCCACAACCCCAGAGTCGTCTGCGATTGGACTTAACTGTTGGGGGTCCTTTACCTTTGAGGAAGCCTTTAAAAGGACAAGCACACACACACCCCGTTCACACTGCCCCACAGACCAGCTCAGGGGGTGGGAAGGGACCTGGCCACCTGCTCCACAGCCTTCCTCACCTGCCCCAGATCCGCCTGTGCCAGAAGCACAGAGGAAGAAAAGGGGTTTCCTTGGAAAAACAACATATTGAGGTCGGAGGAGTCTCCTAGCCAAACAGAGGCTGAACCAATGTGTGGGGAGCCCCCCACCCCAGCAGGGTCCACAGCCAGCCTTGCCGGGGGGCACCTACAAGTAGGTAGGAAGAAGCCCAGGCTCCCCTGCAGAGTTTGGGGGGCGCAACAGAGGGTCCAGCGGGGGTATCTTTGCCAGCCAGACCCCCACCCTGAAGCAGCTGCCCTAGGAGCATCGGGAGCAGCCTGCGCTGACCGCTCTCCAGGATTTCAGGCAGGGAGATGCTGCCGTCGGGGATTGCACCGGGGGGCCTTCTGCATGCACGCAGGTGCTCTACCCACTGAGCGAGCTGACCCTTCTGCCCCCGCAGGTGGCCAGCAGCCGGTCAGGCAAGATCTTCCCCTCCTGCCCCGAGAACGACGAAACCGACACCTCCAAAGTGGTGGAGATCCAGAACAAGCAGATGATTGAGTGGGCTGTGGGGGGCTTCCAGCCCTCTGGCCCCAAGGGCCTGGAGCCGCCAGAAGGTAAGGAAGTGGGGCAGGAGCTGGGGGTGCTCTAGGGCAGGCGGGCAGGCAGACCCTGGGGGTCCCTGAAGCCCTGTGAGAGCCAAGCAGAGGAGTTTCCTCACTAAGGGACCGCGGAGCTAGATTCGCACTCGGGGCTTGCCCCCTCACCCCCCGTGTTCTTTCCTTGCAGAGGAGCGCAACCCCTACAAAGAAGTTTACACAGAGATGTGGGTGGAGCCGGAAACCGCTGCCTACGCCCCTCCTCCCCCCGCCAAAAAACCAAGGAAAAGCACAGCGGAGAAGCCCAAGGTCAAGGAGATCATTGACGAGCGCACCAGAGGTCAGCCGGGGGCCGGGGGGGCTGCTTTGTCTGGGAGGCTCCCCGCTTTCTCTGATGTCGGACCATCAGAAGGATCCCCCGGATCAGGCCCAAGGGGATCACCTGGTCCTCTCCCCCCTCTCAGGATTGAACCTGCAACCTTGGACTCACCAGTGCAGCGCAAGCAGAATCCGAACACAAGAGCGGCACTCTCCTCCTCCATTAATTTGCCTTTCAAAGCCGCCTTGCTTGGCTGCCTCCTGTGGCAGGGAGTTCCAAAGTTGAACTCTGTGCCGCATGAAGGACTTTTCTGGCCCAGCTGCTTCTGGGGGCAGGGGCAGGGGGGAGGCGCTATAGGACAGCAGCTGGCCTGCTGTGCAACCCCCCCCCCCGACCTGTGTTCCTGGTCCTCTGTAACCCACTCCATCTGGGGGTGCCCCCTCCCCCTCTGCTTGCTGGAGTAGCTGCCCCCAGTTTCCTCCTATGCAGAGAAAGACCTGCACAGGACTAGGGTGTTGAGATGTTCTAAGAGGCTGCATGGAGCAGTGGTTAGAGCAGAGTCCTCTTTCCCTGTCTCCCCTCTTCTGGGATGCAGGGCGTGGGGGGGGCTTTCTTGCCTCTGTGCTTTGTCACCTGCACCCTGGCACAGCCCCTGGGCAACCTTCCTGCCCCACCCTGCCCCTTAGCCTCCTCTTCCGCCCCTCCTGGCATCGCTGGCACAGAGTCCTTGTCCCAAAGAGGCCAGTGTTGTGCTTGGGGGGCTGGGTTAGAGACCCTTCCGGCTGTTCCTTTGGGCAGCCCGGGACCCTGAAGGAGGCTGTTAGGGGCCAGGGAGGCTGTGCCCCCCCCGGGGGTCATGGAGGACTCCGCAGGAAAGGGGCAAAGCCTTTGCCCAGAGCTCAGAGCAGGCGGACGTCCACAAAGCAAAACAGGAAAAGCGGGTAAATAGTTTCAGTCAAGCCCTACCTAATCTGGGCAGATTTCGTCAAGACCACCTCTCTGTTTTTATCATGGGAAAAGTGGCAAAATCAGCGTAGATAAAGACCATCAGATGTGCTGATGAGCAGCTGAGGTCACCCCTTGGCATCCCATGCAGCCTTTGCCAACCTGGCAGCACCTCCAGAGAATAAAAAAAGTTGGAAGGGACCCCTGGGGGTCATCCAGCCCAACCCCCTGCAAGGCAGGAATCTCAGCTGAAGCATCCATGGCAGATGGCCATTCAACCTCTGCTTAAAAACCTCCAAGGAAACCACAATCTCCAGAGGGAGACTGTTCCACTGCCAAACAGCTCTTGACTATCAGAAAGTTTTTTGTATGTTTAGTTGGAATTTCCTTGTCACTTGAAGCCATGGGTTCGAGTCCTGCCCTCCAGAGCAGGAGAAAACAAGCTTGCTCCCTCTCCCATTTGAGACATTTGAAGATGGCTCTCCTATCTCCTCTCAGTCTCCTCTTTTCCAGGCTAAACTGACCCAGCTCCTTCAACCGCTCCTCCTCAGGCTTGGCTTCTAGACCCTTGATCATTTTAGTCACCCTCCTCTGCACACCTTCCAGCCTCTCAATATCCCATCTTCCTAAAAACTTTTAAATTTTTAATTCTTTTCCTGTATTTTTTTTTGGGTTTGATATTGATGTAAACCGCCGTGATATATTTATATGATACAGTGGTGTAATAAATCTTTTGAAAAACAAGATAAATATAACTTTTTAATGCGTAGTTTGGCGCTTTCCTGTTGTTGCAAACCGCTGTGATATATTTCCGGGAAGCAGTGGTATATAAGTATTTTTATAAATAGCAGAAGAGAGCCCAACCTTATTCTCTGCCCTCCGCTCACCAAACCGCCCCCCCTTTTCCCTCCGCAGAGCGTCTTGTTTACGACGTCCGGCAGAAGTGCAGGAACATTGAAGGTGAGCCTGAGCCCTTGCTGCCTCGGCTGCACAGAAGCGCTGGGGGGGGGGGTGCATGCATTTTGGTGGGGGGGTGCATGCATGGGGGGGCGCTTTTCCACATCCGCTTTCAGCGCTTTCCTTCAAGAGATGCTGGCCCCGGAAGCCGTAGGGTCCTGGGGGGCGAGGAGAGTCCTCCCCCCGCCCCGTAAGAGGCAGTCACTCAGTGTGGAGGGCCTTTTGTGCCCCCCCCTTGCAGCTGCCAGCTCCGTCCAGTCCAGCAGGAGGGGCCGTAATGTTCCGGGTCCGGTCCAGAGGTTGCTGGGTCTGCTTTTGGAAGAGGGGGAGCAATGCAGATAGGTACAAAGGGAGGAGGGCGGTAGGACTCACAAGGTGGGGGGAGGTCAGGGGCAGTTCCCATCTCCCTCCCCTCGCCCCGCCTAACCCTTCTCCCATTGTCCCCCCCCCCCCAGATATCTGCATCTCCTGTGGGAGCCTCAATGTCACCCTGGAGCACCCTCTCTTCAACGGAGGCATGTGCCAAAACTGCAAGGTAGGCGTCCAGGTGCTAGAATGCAAATAGGTAAAGGTAAAGGGACCCCTGACCGTTAGGTCCAGTCATGGCCGACTGGGGTTGCAGCCCTCATCTCACTTTATTGGCCAAGGGAGCCGGCGTGCAGCTTCCGGGTCATGTGGCCAGCAGGACTAAGCCGCTTCTGGCGAACCAGAGCAGCGCACGGAAACGCCGTTTACCTTCCCGCCAGAGCGGTACCTATTGATCTACTTGCACTTTGATGTGCTTTTGAACTGCTAGGTTGGCAGGAGCAGGGACCGAGCAACGGGAGCTCACCCCGTCGCGGGGATTCGAACCGACAACCTTCTGATCAGCAAGTCCTAGGCTCAGTGGTTTAACCCACAGTGCCACCCGCGTCCCAGAATGCAAATACAAGCCCTGCAAATAATGGAAATCCTGTCATCGCCTGCAGGGAAGAGGCAGCAAGTGGGTTGCTTGGGGGGGGGTGGCAGGAGCCCCTAGGGGAGAAGGAGACTTCTGCCACGGTGATGCTCCTTACGGGGTCCTTGCCGCGGGATCACATTCATCCAGTGCTTTACCAACTGCACTGGCTCCCGGTGGAGTCCAGGGTCAGGTTTAAGGTGCTGGTTTTGACCTTTAAAGCCCTATATGGCCTAGGACCCTCGTACCTACGGGACCGCCTCTCCTGGTATGTGCCATGGAGGACGTTAAGGACTTTGAAGGTCCCAAGCCTCAAGGAGGTTAGATTGATCTCAACTAGGACCAGGGCCTTTTCTGTACTGGCCCCTACGTGGTGGAACGCTCTGTCTCAAGAGACCAGGGCCCTGCGGGACTTGACATCTTTCCGCAGGGCCTGCAAGACAGAGCTGTTCCGCCTGGCCTTTGGTTTGGACTCAGTCTGACCCTTATGTTTTCCCTCCCCTTATGGTTTTGATCCATGGACTACTTTTAAAATGAGGCTGCATTTTAAATTGCATTTTAACCTGTATTTTAAATTGTGGCTTTCCCCCCCTTCACTTTCCCCCTATTATGTTTTTACTGGGATTTTATTGGTGTTAGCCGCCCTGAGCCCGGCTCTGGCTGGGGAGGGCGGGGTATAAATAAAATTTATTATTATTATTATTATTATTATTATTATTATTATTATTATTATTGTTCTCTGCCTGCGCCCCACCTGTAAGGGGGCAGCCAGCGCCTTTCCTGTTAGTGTGTTGCAAAGGGCATGGAGCCGTAGAATTGTGGAGTTCGGTGGGACCCCCGAGGGCCATCTAGCTCAGCCCCCTGCGAGGCAACAATCGCAGCTGACCGTCGGCGCCAAGAAGGCCCCCTCACTCCTCTCTTCTCTCTCCTCTTGTCCCCCCCCCCCAGAACTGCTTTTTGGAATGCGCTTACCAGTATGACGACGACGGCTACCAGTCCTACTGCACCATCTGTTGTGGGGGCCGCGAAGTCCTCATGTGTGGCAACAACAACTGCTGCAGGTGAGCCAAAGGACAGGGGGAGGTCTAAGGGGGAGGGGTCCACACCTGTCTGCTCCCCCCCCCCCGCTGGTGGCCCTCCCTAAGGCCAGGGGACCCACTAGAAGACACCTCCCATTGCCTCAGCCAGGTGGGCAAGGTATTATTATTACACCCTGAGATCCAGCTCCGAGGGCCTTTTGGCGGTTCCCTCCCTGTGAGTAGTGAGGTTACAGGCAAGCTTCCCTCAACAGGGATGCCTTCAGATGTTTTAAAAGTAGGATAGTTGTTTATTTCCTTCACATCTGAAGGGAGGGCTTTCCACAGGGTGGGCGCCACTACCGAGAAGGCCCTCTGCCTGGTTCCCTGTAGCTTCGCTTCTTGCAGTGAGGGAACCGCCAGAAGGCCCTCGGTTCTGGACCTCAGTGTCCGGGTAAAATGATGGGGGTGGAGACCCTCCTTCAGATATACAGGACCGAGGCCGTTTAGGGCTTTCAAGGTCAGCACCAACACTTTGAATTGCGCTCGGAAACGTACTGGGAGCCAGTGTAGGTCTTTCAAGACCAGTGTTATGTGGTCTTGGCAGCCGCTCCCAGTCACCAGTCTAGCTGCCTCATTCTGGATTAATTGCAGTTTCCAGGTCACCTTCAAAGGTAGCCCCACGTAGAGCACATTGGAGTAGTCCAAGTGGGAGATAACCAGAGCATGCACCACTCTGGCGAGACAGTCCGCAGGCAGGTAGGGTCTCATCCTGCGTACCAGATGGAGCTGGTAGACAGCTGCCCAGGACACAGAATTAACCTGCGCCTCCATGGACAGCTGTGAGTCCAGAATGACTCCCAGGCTGCGCACCTGGTCCTTCAGGGGCACAGTGACCCCATTCAGGATCACGCAGAAGCAGGCTGGGAACCAGACCGCAAGAAGCGCTTGCTGGACTAGCCCCATGGCCCAAGCAGACGCCCCAAAGGGAAAGCCACAGGCAGGATCCGAGCCCAAGAGCAACTCTCTCCTCCTGCCGTTTTCAGCAGCTGGAATTCTGAAACATTATTCACTCTGACTATGGAGGCAGAGCAGAGCCATCCTGGTTGGAGCCATCAATAGCCCCCTCCTCCTCCTCCTCCTCCTCCTCGTCCTCCTCTGTGAAATCCATCCAAGCTGGGAGTCCATCGCTTCCTCATGTGGGAGGGAGTTCCACAGTTTAACGAGGCGCTGCGTGAAGAAGGGCTTTCTCTTATTTGCCCCGATTCTTCCAACATTCAGGCTAGGGATAAGGAAAGATTCACCCAGCAGTTGGGTCTGGGTTGGGCTAGGCCTGGGAGGGACCCCTGCCAGTCAGTGCCAGGGTGATCCCACAGGCAGTGGAGGGGGGCAGGGGGGGTTAGACTGCCAGAGTCCGGAATCCCTCCCTCCCTCCCTCCCTCGTCCTGCTGGGCCGGAGCGCTGACTGCTGGACTCTGCCCGCAGGTGCTTTTGCGTGGAGTGCGTGGACTTGCTGGTGGGCCCTGGCGCTGCCCAGGCGGCCATCAAGGAAGACCCCTGGAACTGCTACATGTGCGGCCACAAAGGCATCTACGGCCTGCTCCGGCGGCGGGAAGACTGGCCCTCGCGCCTCCAGATGTTTTTCGCCAACAACCACGACCAAGAGTTTGTAAGTTCAGGGCGGGGGGGGGGGGTTAAGGCGGGTCTTGGGGTGCCCTTTTGCAAGGACGGTTCAGGAGGCGGCAGGAGACACCTTGGCCCTTGCCCTCTACTGTGTCCTCTGGGGAGCCGCTTGTCTTGCCCGGCCAGTGGTCCTGCGCCTGAGCGCAAGAGTGGATTTATTCCGTTGTAATGCTCAAGGCACAGCAGCAGCGGCAGGGAAGCCACACAAGGGGAGCTCCAGGCCTATAAATTGCACGAGCTTCTGTTGTTGTTGTTATTATTATTATTATTATTATTATTATTATTATTATTATTATTATTATTTACTTTAATTTAATTATTGATTGATTGAATTTATACACTGCCCTATATATACCCAGAGGTCTCATGGCAGTTAAATGCTTGTAGAATGGCATTCCATTACCTTAGCTATATGCATATGTAGAAATCAAGTTGCATTCTATGGGAACGGACATCCTGAATTTGGGCTGGGCAAGATCTGGTTTTCAGCATTGCAATATATCACCAGCTAAACATGGCAATACAGTGGTACCTTGGTTCTCAGACTTAATCCGTTCCAGAAGTCTGTTCCAAAACCAAAGCGTTCCAAAACCAAGGCGTGCTTCCCCATAGGAATGTATGCTAAATGGATCGATCCGTTCCAGACTTTTAAGAACCACCCCTAAAACAGCACTTTAACTTGATTTTCACTATCTAACGAGACCATTGATCCATAAAATGAAAGCAATAAACAATGTACTGCAGTTACACAATCGATCAATCAGTAGCTGAACTGGGTTCCACACAGTCACAAAAACAAACCAAAAAGAGCTACAAAAACGCAAAATAAATAGTAAAAACAGACAGACCTCAGTGTAACACTCAAAATGGAGCACGTTCGGCTTCTGAAAAAAGTTCGCAAACTGGAACACTTCTGGGTTTGCAGTGTTTGGGTTCCAAGTTGTTTGAGTACCAAGGTGTTTGAGAACCAGGGTACCACTGTATTTGGATATATCCCGATGTCCAAAAGAAGCATGGAGCTATGTAGAGGCATTGGTTGGCTTGTAAGATCTCCGTTGACCCCATGAGATCTCCCATGAGATCTTGCACGACCTTCCCTCCACTGGGGGAATTCCAGGGGTCTTGACTTTGCACAAATTTGCCCCGGCACGCAAATCCCCAGGACACAACCCCCCGCCTGAGTTGCCGGCCTGCTGCCCTGTCATTTCTACTACCCCCCCAAAAAAAAACCTGGAGTCCCCTGCCCTCCTCTCTCGCCCACCCCAACGCCGTCTCTCTTTGCATCTTGGCAGGACCCACCAAAGGTTTACCCGCCGGTCCCTGCCGAGAAGAGGAAGCCCATCCGGGTGCTCTCGCTCTTTGACGGCATTGCCACAGGTGAGCCCGGCCCCTCTCCCGGAAGCGAGGGCCGTGTTGGGGTGCAGACCCCCCCCCTTGCGCAGCTGTGACTCTCCCCCCTCCTCCCTCCAGGTCTCCTGGTGCTGAAGGACCTGGGCATTCAGGTGGACCGCTACATCGCCTCGGAGGTGTGCGAGGACTCCATCACGGTTGGGATGGTGCGGCACCAGGGCAAGATCATGTATGTTGGGGACGTCCGCAATGTCACGCAGAAACACGTACGTGGAGCTCTGGGGAGGGGGGAGGGCGGCTTCCCCTCCCTCTGTGTCGCTGGCCCAGGACCCCAGCCCCAGGGGGCGCCCCTCCCGCCTCTGACGCTCCCGCCTCCTTCCGCACTGCAGATACAGGAGTGGGGGCCCTTCGACCTGGTGATTGGAGGCAGCCCCTGCAACGACCTCTCCATCGTCAACCCCGCCAGGAAAGGCCTTTACGGTAGGTGCCCCCCCATCCCGGTCCCTGCCGGGGCTCACGCAGTCGTAGAATCGTCAGGTTGGGTCATTGGGTCCAGCCTTTCCGAAACTTGGGTCTCCAGCTGTTTTTGGACTACAGTTCCCCTCCTCCCTCATCATTGAAAGACCTACACTGGCTCCCAGTACATTTCCGAGCACAATTCAGAGTGTTTGTGCTGACCTTGAAAGCCCTAAACGGCCTCAGTATACCTGAAGGAGCGTCTCCACCCCGGACACCTGGGTCCAGCGCCGAGGGCCTTCTGGCGGTTCCCTCGCTGCGAGAAGCCAAGTTACAGGGAACCAGGCAGAGGGCCTTCTCAGTGGTGGCACCCGCCCTTGTGGAACGCCCTCCCTTCAGATGTCAAAGAGATAAACAATTACCTGACATTCAGAAGACATCTGAAGGCAGCCCTGTTTAGGGAACTTTTTAATGTTTGAAGTTTTACAGTGGTACCTCTGGTTGCAAATGGGATCCATTCCGGAGGCCCGTTCGCAACCTGAGAAGAACGCAACCTGCATCTGTGCATGCGCGGGTTGCGATTTGCCGCTTCTGTGCATGCGCGTGACGTCATTTTGCACTTTTGTGCATGCGAGAGCGGCGAAACCCGGAAGTAACCCTTTCCGCTACTTCTGGGTCGCCACGGGACGCAATCTGAAAACGCGCAACCTGAAGCAAACGTAACCTGAGGCTACCAGACTTTTGGGAGACATCTGAAGGCAGCCCTTTTTTAGGGAAGCTTTTAATGTTTAGCAGACCACTGTATTTTAATACTGTGTTGGAAGCCGCCCAGAGTGGCTGGGGAAACCCAGCCAGATGGGCGGGGTATAAATAATAAATTCTATTCTATTCTATTCTGTTGGTCCTACTCGCTAGGGATGATGGGAGTTGTGGTCCAAAAACAGCTGGAGACCCAAGTTGAGGAAGGCCTGATCTAGTCCAATGCCCTGCAAAGCAGGAATCTCGGCTAGAGCATCCATAACAGATGGCCCTCCAACCTCTGCTTAGAAACCTCCAAGGAAGGAGAATTCACAACCTTCCAAGGGAGACCGATCCTCTATTGAACAGCTCTTGCTGTCAGAAAGTTCTTCCTGATGTTTAGTTGAAATCTCCTTTCTTGTTACATGAAGCCATGGGTTCGAGTCCTACCCTCCAGAGCAGGAGAAAAGAAGCTAGTTCACTCTTCCATTTGATAGCCCCTGACATATTGGAAGATGGCTCTCCTATCTCCTCGCAGTCCCCTCTTTTCCAAGCTAAACATTCCCAATGACCTCAAAGCCGTTTAAATCATCTGTGTCACTGATAGCTGTGACCCCAGGGTTAGGGTCTTCCTTTGTCTAGTGACGGTGGCGCTGTGGCCTAAACCACTGAGCATCTTGGGCTTGCCAATCAGAAGGTCGGCGGTTCGAATCCCCGCGACGGGGTGAGCTCCTGTTGCTCTGTCCCAGCTCCTGCCAACCTAGCAGTTCAAAAGCATGCCAGTGCAAGTAGATAAATAGGTACCATTGCGACGGGAAGGTAAACAGCGTTTGCATGCACTCTGGCTTGCGTCACAGTGCCCTGTTGCGGCAGAAACTGTTTAGTCCTGCTGTCCACATGACCCGGAATACTGTCTGTGGACAAACGCCGGCTCCCTCGGCCTGAAAGCGAGATGAGCACCGCAACCCCATAGTGCCTTTGACTGGACCTAACCGCCCAGGGGTCCTTTACCTTCCCTTCCCTTGCCTAGGGGGCAGGAGAAGGGGATTCCCCCGCGCCCTTAATCGCCCTGGAGCGTGGGGCCAGAAGGGCTTGCCAAGGGAGCTTTTGTGTCTTGTGGGCCGGTCTTGGGTTTGCGCCCCCGTTCATGGCGGTCTTCCTCCCCTCCCACCCCAGAGGGCACGGGCCGACTCTTCTTTGAGTTCTACCGGCTGCTGCACGAGGCCCGGCCCAAGGAGGGAGACGAGCGGCCCTTTTTCTGGCTCTTTGAGAACGTGGTGGCGATGGGCGTCAGCGACAAGAGAGACATCTCTCGCTTCCTGGAGGTGAGAGGGTGGGCAGCGGGTGGGTGGGTGGGCAGCGCTCTTTCCTCCTTGCCCACCCTCCGAAAGTTCCTGAATCTCCCTGGGCGGGAGAGGGAGGAGCAGCCTGGGGGAACGTGCCGGATCTGAGCCAAAGCAGCCAGAAGAGGACCAAAGGCACAACCTGCCTGCGCCTCTGCTGTGTTCCAGGCGCAGGGAGTTCCTCCTGCCACCAGAGGGCACCTGAGTGTTTCCAGGGCTCATCTTGCATATGCCAGTGTTTAAAAAGCAGTCTTGCCTAGCGGTTAGAGTGGCAGAGCACCAGGTTCAAATCCCCCACTCTTCCAGGAAACGCTCAGCAGGTGGCTCTCAGCCTATCCTACCTGGCAGGGTTGTTGGGATTAAATGAGGAGGGGCAGAACCATGTAGGTGCAATTTCCTTGCAGGGAAATTGGGGTCTCAATGTTGACCTCCTGTCATCCCTGTCTATTGTTCCTGCTGGCTGTCGGGGTTTTGGGAAGGGGGCAGCTTCTGAGGGAGGGGGCAACATCTGGCAGCCTCTCTCTCTTCTAAGTGAATCCAGAATGTTAGCACCCCAGGGGTGAACACGACAGCCAGGTCAGAAATGAGGCTGAGAAGCTGAATGGTCTGTTCCAGGATTGAATCAGGGTGGGGTTGTCAGACAGGGCCAGGGGTCAGCAAACCTTTTGAGCAGGGGGCCGGTCCACTGTCCCTCAGACCTTGTGGGGGGCCGGACTATATTTTGAAAAAGAAAAAAATGAACAAATTCCTATGCCCCACAAATTACCCAGAGATGCATTTTAAATAAAAGCACACTTTCTACTCATGTAAAAACACACTGATTCCCGGGCCGTCTGGGGGCCGGATTGAGAAGGCGATTGGGCCAGATCCGGCCCCCAGGCCTTAGTTTGCCTACCCATGATCAGGGCATTGAATGAATGAATGAAATCTTTATTGCTGAAAGCAATAAGCCATCACAATTGGTCACAATGCATAGAATACAAATAATTGATTTAAAACTGAACAACAGCAGCAAAGCAAACATACAAAAATGCGAAAATCACACCTGCATAAGTTAAGCACTCCATTTCTCTCACTCCCCCTTATGATACTTGTCTTGGTGCCCAGCTCTCAACTTACTTGCAGCCAAGGCAAATTTTGCACCTCTGCATTAAGAAATACGTTCTTGCCAGCCAGCAAACTAGAGATTTGCTGAAGGGGAGGTTGACTGGAAAGAGAGCAAAGGATGTAATGTAGGATGTAATCTCGGGGAATCCACAGAGAGGGAAGGGGCACCGAGGGTCATCTAGCACAACCCCCTGCGAGGCAGGAATCTCATTGGGTTCTAGATTAAACCACAGGGCGCCTTCTGCTCAGTGAGGCCCTCCGGTGGGCAGGACAGGGCTGGCACAGGGGCATCAGAAGCTGCCTTCTACTGCACTGGCTGGCATCAGTGGCTTTCCAGAGCTTCAGGCCTGCCCTGGAGATGCCCGTTCTGCGGGCAAGGCGGGAGCTGCGCCACTGAGCTCTGCCCCTTCCCCAAAGGCACGAGCAGGGGCAGGCACTCGCCGGAAAGGTCTGGAGGGCCTGACCAGGGGGGGAGGGCAGCCCTTCGCCCTGCCCGCCCCTTGACGCCTTCCTCCTCCCCCCTTCTCTCTCGGCTGCAGTCCAACCCGGTGATGATCGATGCCAAAGAGGTCTCGGCAGCGCACAGAGCCCGCTACTTCTGGGGGAACCTGCCCGGCATGAACAGGTTGGTCAGAGGTCTGGCGCCAGCACCCAGAAACCCGCCCGTGCCAAGGAAGCGGTGAGGTCCTGCCAGAACCCTGCCTGCTTTGGGACAGAGAGGAAATAATAATAATAATAATAATAATAATAATAATAATAATAATAATGATGATGGATTAAAACTTTAGCCCGCTTGCCAGCTCCTCTGGCTTACATCTGTGAGGAGGGGGCTTGGGGGGCGAAGGTGTGAGGCCCAGGAGGTGGGGGTCTTGCAGGGAGGGGCCTTGAGGCTCCCGGGATCCCTGTTCTGGGCTGATCAGTTGTCTGTTTCCCCTGCAGGCCGTTGGCTTCAACTGTGAATGATAAGTTGGAACTGCAGGAGTGTCTGGAGCATGGCAGGATAGCCAAGGTGAGTGCAGGGAATTGGGACCGGGAGGGGAAAGGGCCTCTAGTTGAGGAAGGAAGGAAGGCAGGAGTTGCCAAGTGTTCGGACCTCACAGGCAGGGAAGGCCACCCACCTGGATATAATAATAATAATATAATAATAATAATTTATTATTTGTACCCCGCCCATCTGGCTGGCTTAAAAATACATTAAAATGTCACACATTAAAAACTTCCCTGAACAGGGCTGCCTTCAGATGTCTTAAAAGTAGTGTCATTCTTTATCTCCTTGACATCTGGTGGGAGGGTGTTCCACAGGGCGGGCACCACCACCGAGAAGGCCCTCTGCCTGGTTCCCTGTAACTTGGCTTCTCACAGCGAGGGAACCGCCAGAAGGCCCTCGGCGCTGGACCTCAGTGTCCAGGCTGAACGATGGAGGGGGAGACGCTCCTTCAGGTCTACTGGGCTGAGGCCGTTTAGGGCTTTAAAGGTCAGCACCAACACTTTGAATTGTGCTCAGAAATTTACTGGCTTTCAAAGAGAACCAGATCGGTTCCTGGAGGAGGAGAGGGCTGTGAGAGACTCCTGCTCTGTCTCAACAGTCCAAGGCAGCCATGTGGCCCCTGGATCCCAGTTCGAGGGCAGAGTTGCCCTTGTGTCCGATTCCCACTTGCGGGTTTCCCTCTGTGAGAATTTGAAGGGCCATGGTCCAGATCCAGCAGCTCCTCCTTCTATCCTTATGAGAGGAAGCCAAGGGTATCTGATTCTGCTGAAGCTGCCAGTGCCCCCTGCAGTTGCCAGTCAAAGTTGCCAGTCAAGTTGGGGGCAACAGGAGTCCCCTGCTGAGGAAGGGCAGGGAGGTCAGGCAAAGCGGGGGCTGGGGGAGGTGAGGCGCCCGCTTCATGGGCTGGGACGGGGGAGGGGGCAGGGTGGACGTCCCGCAGCCCCCCCCCCCGGCTGACCTTGCCTCCGCCCTCTGTGCTCCCGCCCAGTTCAGCAAAGTGCGAACCATCACCACTCGCTCCAACTCCATCAAGCAAGGCAAAGACCAGCATTTCCCCGTCTTCATGAACGAGAAGGAAGACATTCTGTGGTGCACCGAGATGGAGAGGTGGGTGCCTGCCCTCCTGGCGAGGGGGGTGGTGCTGGGGGCTCCCTTCCCACTTGAGGCATTCCCAAAGCAAAGGAAGGATTGAACTCTGATTAATAAGAATACACACAGAGGCTTGAACCAGCAAGACTCTGGGAAGGGTGCCTATAATAATGTTGGTCCCTCTACCCCTCAGCCCAGGTCGTTTTATTCACAAAAGAACTTTTTACAGTGTGTTCCTAAGAACCAATCAGATTTCTTCTGAGCATTTCAACAAACCCCACGTGGGGACAAAGTTACACTACAAACACTAGTTAAGCACGCATATTTTGGGGGTAAATAAATGAAAACTACAAAGGAGTGCATTCAGCAAACCCGGAGGTCATAAACAATCAATACACATGATAAGAAGGATGGCCAGGAAGACAGCGATCATTATCACCTTCAGGTGAGACCTGTTTCCTGGCCCTAAGATTAACATCCTAAGATTAACATATCAGAAAAGCTACATCAAAGAAACTGCCCACTGTCTCTGATGACCCAGGATGCCTGCCTGGCGCAGTGTACGTGACTGGTCAAGAAAGAGAAATGGAACAGGGATGCAGAGGTGTGGATTGGTCAAGAATCATATCAAAATAGTTTAGACCCAGTCAATGCAATGCTTTCATTGCTGACACAGATGGCTTACTCTATATATGTTATAATTCCTCATAGCAATCCCACCTGATCACTACACTACTGAAAGTGCGGGGCGGGAATGGGGGGCTGGCTGGCTGGAGTCCTGGCTCCCTGCGCATGTGCATAGCTGTCAACGTTGCCCTTTTTTTAAGGGAAATCCCCTTATTCCGAATAGGGTTCCTCGCAAGAAAAGGGAAAAGTTGGCAGCTATGCCTCCGGGGCCTGCTGCCACGCTGGTGCTGACTGCCCCCCCCCCCTTTCTTTCCCCGCAGGGTCTTTGGCTTCCCGGTCCACTACACCGACGTTTCGAACATGAGCCGCCTGGCGAGGCAGAGACTCCTGGGTCGCTCCTGGAGTGTGCCAGTGATCCGCCACCTCTTTGCCCCCCTGAAGGAGTACTTTGCCTGCGTCTAAAGAGACACCCGCCCTCGGAACTGGCAAAGCAGAGGAGGAGGAGGAGGCGTCTCAAACACAACCCCCCCCCCCGAACAGAAGAAAAGGGGCACCAGAGAGGAGGAGGTGGTGGTGGCTGGTGGGCAAGAGGGAGGGAGGGAGAGGACGGGCCCCCCCACCCACGGGAGGGTCTACCACCCGCCCATCTTCTCCCTGGGTCAAACCGCCCCAGACCAACTGACCGGCCCCCCTTTTCTGTTGGTGACCCTTCAATTTCCTGCTCTTTCTGGACGGCTTCGCCTCGTCCGATGGGTTTCCGCCTCTCCTCGGCTGAGCCCCGGGCACGGAGCCCGGCTGTCCGGGCGCCCACGGGCGTGTGCCCCCCCCTGCCAGCCTCCGCAACGGAGGAGGAGAGCCCAGAGCTGAGCGGGCCTTGGGGCGACAGCTTCGCCCCTGCTCAGTCGAGGAGCACAAAGGGAGGTGCCGGGGGGGGGCCTCCTCACGTCTACCAGCGCCATTCCTGCGGTGGAGGGTGGGGGCGCAGGCCCGGAAGCTGCCCGCCCCTCCCTCCCTGCCCCCTCCCACCCTGCCCCCCCTCCCCACAGTATTTGGGTGCCTACCAGGCCGGAGACCTTGACCAGTCCAGCTCCTACAGCCGCTCTTACCTCTTGTTTACAGTTTATATATATGTGAGAGTTACGTGAGAGAAATGTCTATATATATATAAAAAGGTACTGTTACTGCTGTACAACTGACTTTCAAAATGGTGCTTCTACATCAAGGGAGAGGGCGCACCCGTGGCAGCTTAAGGGGGGCGGCTCCGTGTGCTGGCCCCCGGGGGGGCTTCTCAGATAGGGAGGGCAGGCGGGCTAGGAAGGGCGGGTGCCGCTCTCTGCCCTGGGTGTCATGCAATAATGCTTTCCCCCCCTGCAAAAGGCAACCCTCAGGCCAGGGGCCCCACCCACCCACCCTCTGCAGTGTCCCAAATAGTGGCCCCCACGTAAACTGGTGCTTTCTCACAAGGGGGGGCCCCTGGGTGTCCTCCCCAGCGGGCAGACCAGGCGCTCGACTCAGCTGAGGTCTTTCTTTCCTCCATTTCTGCCCCTGGAACCGCAGGCTCAGCAGTGGGGGGGGGGTCCGCGAGGGGAGGGAGGTAGATAAAGGGGGTGCCCTTTGCCGCCCGCCCCTCCCCATTTCTCCGCAAGCACGGGAGGCGTTGGGGGGGGTCCGTGCCGCTGCTGCCCCCTTCCACCCGCGGCTGATGTGAACGGCAGGGCTCCTGTTTTGCTTGAACAGGCTCCGGCTGTGCTACCCGTCCCCCCCCCCGGCTGGCCCCCCCAACCCACCCTTTGCAAGGCCCCCCCACCCTCCAAATACAGGGTTGAGGGGCAGCTCCTCCCAGGGTCCTTGCGCAGAGGGCGGCGGGGTCCCTGGGCTCTGCCTCCCTTGGCAATTGTGTGCACTTTAGTCCTTTGGGGCAGGGGGGGTGCAGAGAGCGGCCAGCTTCGCCCCCCACCCCCCCACCCCGGACGCCCCTTGGGGCGCGGCCTGGGAGGCTGCTTCTCCCTTCCGCTTGTGGGGAGGGCTCCCAGCAGGGCCCGAAGCCCTTGGTGCTAACGGGGAGCCGGGTTGGGGGTCCCCTGCTGCCCCCCGCCTCTGCCTCTGCCCCCCCCCCGCCGTCTTCCCTGCGTTCATGGTGCTCTCGGAGGCAGCGGCTTGGTGCTGAGGAAACGCTCAGGAGCAGGGGGGGCCGGTCTGCGGGAGACTGCCGGGGCCCCCCCACTTCTCCCCCCCCCAGTGGGTGAAGCAGTTGCAGCTGGCAGGGGTGCTCTCTGGTCTCGGTGCTAACCGGGGAGCTGGCAGGCAGGCGGGGGCCTCCTCTCCCTTCCCCTCAAACTGTGAAAGGTGCTGGGGTCTCGCTCAGGACCCGATGGGGAAGCCAAGGGAGGGGGGGCACTGGAGGGGGCTGTCTGGCAGGACCCGCTCCCAGCTGCCTCCCTGGCAGGTGAGCAGGCGGGTATCTCCCTCTCCCGACCCCCCAGGCAGGTGGCACTTTGATGGCCCCCACGGGGGTGGGAGAGGGAAGGAGGGGGCCGCCTTGGGGCTTATTTTAGTCTAACTTCTTTGGTGCTATGCGGGACGCCTGGAGCCCCCTCCCGGCCATGACCTGTCCCTTTGGGGGGGCTTCCCACCCGGGCCAAAGGGAGCCCACGGAGCGCTCCCAGCCCCTGACCAGGGAAGCTTATCTTGGCGGAGAATCGAAGGTGGGGAGGGGGCAGCGGACCCTCCCCACAGAGCCTTCCTTCCAGCGACTGTTGGCTCAGTGGGGGGGGGGCTGGCCACCACCCCCAAATTCAGCAGCTAATGGCTGTATTCCCCAATTGCTGCCCCCTCCCTTAGGTCTGCCTGGCAGACCTCTTTCTGAGCAGCCCAGCTTCATGGAACTCCCCCCACCCCAGACCCCTCCCCAAACTGGAAGTGGCCTCTCGGGAAAACCTCCTGTCTGTTTTGTCTTTTCAGCCCCCCAACTCCCCCCCCCCAGGCGTCCCGCTGTATTTGTCTTGGATCTGTTTTGCTGTCTGCTACAGAACCCACCTGCTTCCCCCCGGGGGGGCGAGAGGAAGATGGGGGGGGAGGATGGGGGGTGGCTTTAGGGACCGGCTTGACTCTGGTCTCCTCTTGTGATAAAGAGGCCCCCCTCCCGCCAGGTTGCAAAGCCCTAGACTGAAAAGCGGAGCAACCGGACTGCCCCCCCCCCTTGCCTGAATTCCTTTGTCGACCACAGAAGGATATGGGGGCAACTAAGGTGCTAAAAAAAAATCCCTCTTTTATCACAAATCTCTATTGTTAACTTAAGTCTGCTGTCTGGACAATGACTGTTTTTTTTGTTTTCTTGTAGTGGAGTTTTAAAAGAGCTCTATTATTTTACTCTTATATATTATTATTAAAAAAAAGAAAAAAAGGCATTTTAACTTTGTACTTGAAACCTTTAAGGAAAGATTTCATGTGTTTTAGCCTAGGCATTGAAGTAGCTGAGACGCTTTTACTGTTTGTGGGAAATCATGTATTCATGCTGAAGAAATAAATCTTGTCAAGATCCTGGGAAGAGCTCGGCCACGTTCCCTGCTCTCCAGCCGTCGCTGCCGCCTTCCCGACATTCCATGCCGCTGATCGCCTCCCCGCCCCGCCCCCTGCACCCAGCAACACCCCCCCCCACTTTACTTTTCTTTGCTAGGATGATTTTGGGATGCACCATCCTTTCTGCCGCTTTCCCCCCGCCTCTCTCCCTTTTTTTTTAGGGTTGCTTCTATATTTATTGACAAATAAATAATGTACATTTCAGAGTATGGTTCTGCTATGCCAGGGGTGGGAAGTGTGTGTGGGGGGGTGGGAGGCCCAGCTCTCCACCCCCGCCGGGCAGGCTGTTGTATCTCTGTGTAAGTATTGCTGGTGACATAGCTGTTTTATAAAAATAATTAAAAGGTCCATGGTGCCGCAGATGTTAGAAAGTCTCTCCGTTCCGCCTCCATCCCATCCTTTGCCTTTTTGGTTTGTTTTTTTTCCATTTGTGCCCAGGACACTCTGAGAAGGAAAGGCTCCTTTGCTGATGTACTCTGTGCTGGAGAACACTTGAATAAATGTTCTGTTTTGTGCAAAAAGGAAAAGCGGAAAAGCCCCGGAGCCTGTCTGCCGTCATGTGCTTTTTGTCGCCCTCGTGCTCCGAGCGTTCGTGGCAGCGGCAGGGTGGCTCTTGCTGGGAGGCCGGGGGCACAGGCAGGCCCCCCCCAGGGGTCTCTCCTAGCAGAGAAGTCCACTCTCGCAAAAGGGTCAAGGGGATCCACCAGGCCACATGCTTCACGCAGCTGTGGAGCCTGAGAATCCACTCCCTTCGGTCGCTGGCCGTGGAAAGGCTGCCTTTGCACACCCAGAAGGAGGCAACTCGCCTTTTTTATGGGAACCGGCCACTACTGCCGGTAAAGCGCCTGTCTAAAGCAGGATCTACTTCTGGCAACTTGCCCTTACCCAGCCGACATCAAAAGAATACCCAATTTCTACAGAGTTCTGTGTTATTTAGTTACATATATGCGGTTGAGATTCCTGCATGATCCTTGGGCAGCATTCAAAATCCACCAATTGGCCACTTGTGACCAAGTGAAGATGCCCAGGTGTCTGGTGTCTCCACCTGGTGGTGCCTGCCTGCCTGCCTGCGGATCCTTGGATCTTGCCCGTTTTCACACACAAGCAACACATCCTGTAGAAATCTAACTGTGCTATTTTATCTGCACAATCAGAATGAATTTCAGGATCCAAAAAATACAACTTTAGAGCCAACCAAATGGCAACTAGGCATTCCATTTTGGCGACGGTTCCCCTGGCGCCTCACTGATATATCTCTGAGTTTTTAACGCTGCCCTTGAGGTTCCTTCCAACTCTTGATTCCATGCTTAATGTTTACTATTTAAGCGGAAGACAAAAGTGCCAGGTAACCTCTATAATTCAAATACGGGTTGCGTTTGGGAATGTGTCTTTTAACGAGAGATTTCTGCCTGCTTTTCAGGCGTAATCTTGCCAGGCCTGGATGTAGTGCCAACTCCAAGCACTAAATCTGGGTGTAGCGGCAAGACGGTACCCGCAGCTTGTTTATTATAGCTACAATTTATCTCACCGATTGCTCTTAGTTACTAATTTTTCTTTAAGACAACCCCCCCCCTCAATCTAGCACTCTTGAGACAAGGTCAGAGGTCCTGTGAAGGACCACCAGGTCTGCGTGTGCCACTGGGCAAAAAGCACAGGTTCAAATTACACGACACATGGAGGTGGGGAGGGAGAAGGAAGAGAAACATGTGTCAGATGCATCTTTGGCTCCCCATAAAGTCACCTGGAAGCCATTTGATTTGATTGTCATTTAGAAATCAAAACAATCCCATATAAGCCACACAACTCTCTCTCTCCCCCCCTCCGCCCGCCAAAAAAGGGGAAATAAGTCAATATGATAAAAGGTGTGAGAATCGCTTTAAGGGTTTAATGGTCCTGGGAGAACAAGGAAGGTCTTATTCCCCTGGTGCCTCAGTGCTCAGCCCCCCTGCACAGCAAATGGCCCCCCTGCTCCATTCTAGGCACCCCGGGGCCCTGCCTGTGTTTCCCCTAGCACAGATTTAGGAGTGGTATCCTGCCACTCCGTATCTTCCCAGGGTGGCTTACGCAACATCAACCAAGGTTACAGTGACGGTAGCAAGAGTCATGCTTTGTAGCCACAAAAGTAGGGTTTGGTGGCAGCGAGATGCAGCCTCATGCCAGCTTTACACAACACCTTGATCTTCTGCCCAGGATCTGGGCCACATAGGCCAGGGGTAGGCAACCTAAGGCCTGTGGGCCAGATCCGGCCCAATCGTCTTCTCAATCTGGCCCACAGACAGTCCGGGAATCAGCGTGTTTTTACATGAGTAGAATGCGTCCTTTTATTTAAAATGCATCTCTGGGTTATTTGTGGGGCATAGGAATTCGTCCATATATATTTTTCAAAATATAGTCCGGCCCACCACATGGTCTGAGGGACGGTGGACTGGCCCCTGGCTGAAAAAGGTTGCTGACCCCTGCCATAGGCCTTCAAGCAGAGGACTGTCTTCTGCAAACTAGGACACCCCGCCAGCTTTCACAGCCTGGGAGGGGCAGCTGGGTGGTTTTCAGTAGACCCCAGCAAAGAGTTGTCTAGAAAAGGTGGAAGCTGCATGGAAACAAGATGTTTGAGAGAGATAAGTTTCTCAGCTTGTATCTCTCACACTCCTTGGGCACCCCAACACCAGGCTCTGACTCCCAAACGCTCGTCCTCTTGCCCTTCCCCAGGGTTCCTGACTTCTCAGCCCAAAACTTCTGAGGCACCAACAAGGCGCACTCCAGGGAACATAGGATAGGATTAGAAAAAGAAGAGGCCGAGTGGGTCATTTGCGCAGCCTCTGAAGGGGCTTGCTTTCACTTCCTTAGGCAGAAATGTTCCCTGCTTATTTTGGGCAGTTTCTGCCCTATCTGCAGTTTAAATCAATTTATTATTTGCCAGTGCCGTGCATATATGCGGTTGTGTGCAAGTCAAATGCACGTAACGGGAGAGACGCCTGAACTTGGAATATTTTCTGCTAAAAAGGGACAGCACACAGAGTGGCTAAGAATAAGAAAAAATATATAAGCTGCAACCACCACACTACGATTCAATGTGCCACTGAGGAATACAAGCTCTCTCTTCAGCAGCCATGGGCTTGGGCTTGGCAGATACACTGCTGGTGGGCAGGGGGAGGCTGGCACAGCCTCAGGAGAGGGGCTGTCAGCATTGGTGTCCCTGAGTGGGAAAAGGAAGGGGATGCCCCTGCTTTCACTGGGCTGGGTTCAAGGTACTGCAAAGGGGGGAGGCTTACAGGGGGTGGGGCACCTAAGAACTGCTGCTGCAGAAGAGGTCTTGCCAGCCAGCATCTAAGACCCAAGTTCTAGGATTCTGGGTTCCCTGCCAGATGAGACCAAAGAGGGCCCCGTCCAGCCCAGCATCCTCACCCCTTCATGAGACTCACAAGCAGAGCTCCAAGGCAACAGGTAGCTGGATGAAGGGCAGAAAGCTCCATAGCTGGGGGACAACCACCTAAAACATTTGTGGTCTCGGGGCACGCAAACCCCTTTGTACTGGAGGCAGACCTGGTGATCTGCTGGGCATCAGCTGTTGACAGTTTCCCAAGGCACAGTCTGCACCAGAAGCAGACTCGAACCCATGGCTTCAAGTTACACAAAAGAAGATTCCAAGTAGACGTCAGGAAGAACTTTAGGACAGTAAGAGCTGCTCAGCAGTGGAACAGATGTCCTCAGAGGTGGTGGACTCCTTCCTTGGAGGTTTTTAAGCAGAGGTTGGATAGCCATCTGTCTTGGATGCTTTAGTTGAGATTCCTGCAGTGCATGAGGCTGGACTAGATGACCCTTGGGGTCCTTTCCATGATTCTGGTCTGAGCCGTCCCACACTGAGAGTCCTGAGGTCAGACTGAATGCTGTTGCTGTTGGCCTGGGTGGTCCCCAGAAAGAGGGAGGAGAGCATTCAGTGCCTGAAGGGCCAAATCCCCATTGCAATCCAGGCCCCTCTTCCAGCTGGGAGGCTGAGCCTTGAGAGGGTCCACTTCCTTTTAATCCTCTGCTTGTGCAACTGAAAGAGCAGCACCTCTGAGTAATCCAACTTGGGGCTCACCAGGCAGGACCGTCCACAGGCCGCCCAGCCCTCAAAAGCAGCCAAGCCCTTCGCTGTCCAAGGTACCAGCCAGGAGAAAAAATATTCTGTGGAAAGCGAGCAAGTAATCCAATGCAGAGCTTCAGGCTCTCCCTCCGTCACTCTCGCTGCATTGATTCTAAAATACTTCAAACAGATTAAAATTAGCTGAACTTGCTAGGCATCTGGGTAGGCCGGGTGTGGGCCTGCGCTTGTTTGCATGCATGCTACTTTCTACTGAAGGAGTGTTGGGAAACGGACTCCAAAAGTCACAGTTTCTTCGAAAGACATCACGACAAACAGGACTGATATTCGCAACTGAATCCCTGAGATTATTCTTGCTGACTCTCTAGCCCACCGCTGACTGGTTGACAAAGATCTGCAGAGCCCGCATTCAAAACTCTTGTGTGTATGAGCTGCCGCCTTCTGGAAGGCGAGGAATGTGGAGCGTTCGCTGACTCTCGGCCGACAGCAAGGCAAGGTGAGCATGCTGGGCACACAATGGCAATGCCCAGTCCAGAAAGCTCTAATGGAGATAAACCCCACCAACCCCTGAACTCCCATTCGCACCTGCCTCTAAGTCACCAAACGCTGGGCAGTCTGGCCACCTCACTGCCCAGAAGGAATGGTGTCAAAGGCCCAAAACATCACAACGGTGAGGGACTTAGGTGCCATGTGGGTGGCAAGAGAGGGGAAAAAGGACTGGCTGGGAGACTAGAACATCCCCTCTAGCCATAGTTTCCCTGTTTAATTTAAAGTGGAACTGCAGTGTGGTCTATGACCCAGGAGGTGGTGCCCTGGCCTCAGAATCGACACCTAACATTTCTGCGCTGCCATGCTATCTTTGAGACACCTTCCTGAGCCTCACCCTTTTCCTCTTGGGAGGCTGCATTCCCCAACCCCGTTCCCTGCCCCATAAGCTCATCTCTGGCACCAGATGCCCAGCCCAGGCAATATGATGCCCCAAAGTGCCCCAAGCGGTTATTTCCTTTTGATTCCTTAAGCTTAAATTCTGATTATCATTCCTCTTACTGGCCCCTGCACCCTCCTCCTCTTGGGCATTCCTATGGCACACCTCCAGCTCCTCAACTGCATCACGGGACTACGGTTATCCTCCTTGCACACTCATAATACCACACACAACCACCTCAGCTCTGTGGCCTGCTGCATATTTATTTCAACAGATTGTTAGCCTGCCTGCCTTAAAAATAGTTCAAGACCGCTGTCAACATTGCTATGAAAGCTGTCATCAAAATTAAATTATGATTCTCTGAGGGG